AATCGGAAGTAAACATATTGTCCACTCATGCCAAACACAATGCGTAAATGTGAATATTAAGCTTAAATTTGGATTTATGTGTAGAATTTGTTTAGGATATAGATAATCAGCCACAAGCGTAGCAAAGTAGGATTAACTTTAACTCCATGCATGTGCTTCTACCACAAACAACTCAGAACTAATGTATTCATTGTCAATAATTTAAGCAATGAAGGAAAGGATTTTGCAATCAAGTGTTCCCGGTCCTAGTTTTACTTGATGTTTTCTTTGAGACATATCATTGGAAGGACAAGTTTCGGATTCCAAATGCCAAGTGTAGCTTTCAAAAGAAATATAGATAAATATCAAACCTTCCAGCATTGAAGAAATCCTTAAGCTCCTGATGGAAAATCTTGAACTGTTCCACGAATGCCCCATTGTACTCTCCAGGATTCTTGGTGATTCGTGCAAGCATTGCCTCCGTAGCAACTAGATCTTCTGGCCCGGCATTCCTATGAAGTTTATTTTGAATCGTGTGTTTGATTTCTTGCTGACAGTTGAAATAACTAGGTTACTGGATTGATCAGGTCATAAAATAAAAGCAATCGCAACTACCCGTGAGCCTTGTTACGCATACCTTAAGGTCATGAGGGATGTCATTCCGATGAGCGATATCCCTAATGCGAGTTAGAGGAACCGATGCTGTAAATTCTGCCTTAAATGACGGCAAACACGGATGGATCTTCCGAATAACAAGCACTTGCTAAACATCAACAGTAGAAAGTTGCAAAGATGAGCCAAAACTTGATACAAGATAGAATGCAAAGCAAAGCAACTACAGGTAACAAAGAAAGCAAGCCTAGATCAAACTGTCAATAAGACATACATGATTATGTCATGTTTTCAATGTTTAATCAACTATAGCTCTAGTAAATAGAAGAAAATATATCAACACCGTCAGAAAAGCTCTCCAGTAATCAGTTTCTGGAGGAGGTTTCATCCTTCTGTTCAGCACAAATGAAACACCAAGAAGTGAATACTAATAGCACAGCCTTGTCACTCAAGTAGTCAAATTACCTAAAGACCATACTACTATTGAGCATGTAACTTCAAATTTGTAACCAGTGAGCAAGCTGACCATAAACACTCCTGAAATAAAGGAACTGGAAAGAACCATACCCAAAAAGAGGGGGGAAACTAAGTTCCTTCTCATCTAAGCAACCTTTAACATAAACAACAAAACGGCAGCAATGGAACACTGCCTAGGTGAAACAAGGTTGGAGAGAAGGCCATCAAATTCAAAATACCAGTCAAGCAAAAAGATAGAGCACCTGTGGAGAAGTATCCTTTCTACTAGATATTTTTTCCAACTCCCGAAATATAAGCCTAGAGATTTCAGCATGACGATTTGGCCTATGATGACCTCCACCTTCAAAGCATGGAATTTGTCCTGTATTAATCCACTGCACAAGAAAAGTATTTAAGAGAAGCACTGAAAGGGAAACATCAAGAAAAACTAAGAACACAGAAAGCTAAGAACCTTAAGATAGATAGCAGAGTATATGAGAGCATCCATGCGATCCCCACTTTCGGTACTTCCAACTATCAGCTCCCGGACAACTTCAAGCTGTTCAAACCAAGAGAAAAACTATGTCAACAGAAAGCAGAGATCATTGAGAACTGTGGAAATCATACTACAGGCGAAAGAAAGTGAAATTGTAGTTGTTAGCTAGCAGCACAACGAGGATTTTTTCTTTAAGTTCTTTAGAAAACTCACGCAGATTCATATAGTAAGACGGAGCATCTGAGCGAAATACCTTCATCCACCAATTCCTCGCACTTCGATCACCTTCGACTAACTTCAGAGACAATCCTTCGAGACCAGACGTATCCCATTTCCTATCTTCTTCTCTGTCCCTATGTTCATTGGACCTCATAAATGACGCAGCCTTTCCCTGCCACTGTCCAACAAAAGGGCTCGGCTCACCATCATGAGTGGGAGGAGCACTACTAGGTCCATCAAGGTCTATTTTCTCAGTTCTCTCCTGTTTCCGCTCTGAACCAGTAGGCAAAAGATCAATACCTTCCCCAGTTGCATTCCACCGACACACCATCTCATAACTCCCCTCATTCGGCAATTTCAGTGTCCGATTATCGCCACCTTCCCACGAAGTACGTTTGTCCTTGTCCACAACAACAAACTTATACTCAATAGACTGACCACCGTTCAACTCCAAATTACACACCCATCCACCTTCCGTCCAATTCAATGGCACCTTCTTTTTCCACGAACCCAACTCTTTGGCTGATCCCAAAATGACTACATTCTCACCAAATTCAACTTGGTGATCTAGACGAATTTTGAGCTGCACTTTCCCCGCTCTTTGTTTCGAATTGGATTTGTTCATCCTCTCCTCATCTCTGCCATAAACACCAGCCTTATAATCCAATTTGTAGAAAAGAACGCATTGCTAAAAACTTACTCGAATCAACGATTCTGAGAATGTTAACCATCCTGTAATCCACATTTTGGATAAAAAATATCCATTCATAACCCTATCAATCTAGACACATAACCTCACAGGAAGAAGCTCAAACTATCCAGGCCGACTGATTGTTATCTCCTAGTTAAAAACAGCTACTTGCCAGGAATAAATTCAGTAGTGAAGCATTCATGTCGGAGTTCCCTAAATAAAGCGACGAATGAATGGAGGTGGGGAGCGATAGAGAGAAGAACCTGGTTTCAGGAGGGGAAAAGCGGCAAGCGATTCTCGGGAGAAGGACATGTCGGTGGTGGCGGAGGGGGAATGCGATCCTGGGAGCGCGGAAGGGCAAATGAGCGTCCGGAGAATGACGACCGCGGCGGTGGAGAGATTTGGAACGGTGATCGGCCAGGTGGAGTCCGGGCGATGCAGGGGTGCAGCAGCGGTGGTGGTGCAATCCACGCAAGGGATCCATTGTTGGAGTGAGAGAGCGAGTGAGAAGAAGATCGAAGAAGAAAAGGGAGGGAGGAGAAGATGAAGATGAAGGATTGGGTGGAAAGAGACACGTGGTGTTGGCTTCTAATTACGCTTAGGAATTAAGAATTAAGAATAAATATCTGACAAATAATATCCGCGCCAAATTCCAAACCTCGATCGGCGGAGGAGCGTCGCCGGCGACGGCGGGATCTGCTGTGTATCGGGCAATCGGAGTTCGGGTACGGGTGCGATTCGCGAAGGTCATATTTTGAGTTAATAGCTGTTTTGCCCCTATATTGTGTCTTTACCTCAAACGAATCCCTCAACTAATGTTTCAGACCAATTCCATAACCATCTCAATGACAATGACTAATGTAGGAATATGATACTTTCTTAATGCAAAATGCCAAAATGTACATGTATAACTATGACTTTAAATTACTTTAGAAAAATATAAAATGTAGTTGTTCCTGTCCAAACTTTAACGGGTTAGAAGCGTCTTTAACATTATCAGTTATGTCAATGACATGCTGATTACTAATGTGGACGCTATATCACTTCCAAATCGTCACTTCATGCCACTTGTCGGTCACAAAAATGAGTGTGTTCAATGCACTCAACTCAAAAACTAGTCTTAATTTGTCGGATTTTGAATTTTAATTTGTAAAATTAATGTAATATGATCATATAACATATGATAACAACTAATTGGCGGATTAATACCGAGAAGGGAATAGAGCCGCGGACTGGCTCTCGAAGCACAGTCTCGTCTATCCCTACGGTATGCATGAGCTGACTAACCCTCCTAGAGAGTTAGCGCAGGTTTTACAGGACGATATTATGGGGGTGTCCTTTGACCGCCGTATTGTGGCGCCTTCCTCCTCTTAGCCTTTGTTTCTCCTCCCTCCTTGTTGTTCTTGTTTCTTGGCTTTGGCCTCCCTTAATGCAAAAAAAAAAAAAAAAAAAAATTTGGTGGATTACCCTAAACCCTAGACCTCCAATTTTGAATTCAATCTCTAACCCCAAATTATAAACCCTAACCCTAAATCTCTAAACTCTAAATTCTTAAATTAAAGTAAATCTTTAGGGGTCATTTGGATGCAGGTTTTGGGTGCGGGATTTGGGCACAATCCTACATAATGTGGGATTTTATTAAAATCACTCGTTTGAAAAGCAATTATATGATGAGAGATTTTAAATATTAGAGATTTCAGAAACCCACAATTGTGGGATTATGAAATAGCTGATGGTGATCAGCTATTTTAAAATCCCACACAAATTCCACAAATTAAAAACCTGGGTTTTTAAACCAGTAATTTGAGCCAAAATCCCACAAATTAAAAACCTGGATCCAAATGACTCCTTAGGGAGATGAGCGATGGTCGGGCTGGATTGGTTGCTGTCAGAGGGAGTAGTGGAATCTGAAGTAGATTTGATTTTCTTCATTTGTGGTGTCAGGTGGTCGTAAGGTGTAGGTGACCATGGCGGTTGTTTAAGAGGTGAAGATGATGATAATGAATTATATGAATCCTCCATTAAACGAGTTGTTTTTGTTTTTATATCAAATATCGTTATTCTATATATCAATTATAAGACTTGTGTTAGATTTTACTGTTTTATTGAATGAAATGACTATATTTCTCATTAGCATCAAAGTTTTGGCAATATGTATGTACTTTTTAAATATGATGTGGCTAACAGGTGGTATGATGTGACGATTTGGAGCCGACGTGTCGTCTGCATCAAAATGTTATTTAACCAACAACGTCTCTAATGACGTTAAAAGATTTAACTGACTAAATTTGTCCAACCCGCATTCTAAATCTAAATATATTTGTGACTTTTACAAAAGTTGACTATTATTGTGACAAATAATTAGTATATTATATTTTTAATCCTAATTAGAATTAGAATTATAAGTCTGTGACAGTTTAAACTTTAAAGATTGAATAGTAGATGCTTTATTTAAAGGGTAGGATTCCTCTGTTTTCCCCTGTTCTGTGCTCTGTTTTCCTGAAGCTGGTGGTTTTTATTTTTTAACCTTCCTTTTCTTACTGTTGGATCGCACGGGAAAGGACAACAGCTCCGACTGCAAATTCGACCTCCTAAAAGCACCAAAAACTAGAATTCAAGTGGAGGAAGAAACAAAAATGGCCACTAGCTAGACCACAAAATCGAAGCACAAGAACAAGAGAGATGGGCAGAATACGGAAAACTACTCCGTTGTGGATCATCGGATTTGCTTATGTATCTACTCATCCTTGTCTCTCCCTCTCTACCATTATAAAAAGCGAAGTTCACAAATCACAACTCTTCATCTACTCCTATTTCCAGTTTCCCCCTGAATCTGAACGAACAGAGAAGCTGTCACCAAATTACAAAGGCGGGAAAATGGCGGCAGTGAAGAGGATTAAGTTGGGTTCGCAAGGTCTCGAGGTATCGGCACAGGGGCTCGGTTGCATGGGAATGTCTGCCTTCTACGGCCCTGACAAGCCCGATTCCGACATGATCGCTCTAATCCACCATGCTATCAACAGCGGCGTCACTTTCTTCGATACCTCTGATGTCTACGGCCCTCGCACCAACGAAATCCTTCTCGGCAAGGTATGAATTCCTCTGTTTTCTCCCCTGTTTTCTGTGCTCTGTTTTTTTCTTCCCCTGCAGCGGCCGATTGTTTTTACCTTTTGTTGGGTTGATTCTCAATTAGGCTTTCAAGGAAGGTGTTAGGGAGAAAGTAGAGCTGGCTACCAAATTTGGATCCGTCTTTGAAGAAGGAAAGAGAGGGTACAGGGGAGATCCTGCTTATGTAAGAGCTGCTTGCGAGGCCAGCTTGAAGAGGCTCGAAGTTGACTGCATTGATCTCTATTACCAACATCGCGTTGACACCACAGTACCAATTGAAGCCACGGTTTGTCCTTCTTCCAACTTCCTCTCTTCTGGGTTCTCCCAAAGCTCGAAACTTTTCGCTTAACGATGCTTTTCCAATCCCTTTGATTGCCGTTAAAAAGGTTGGGGAGATGAAGAAGCTAGTTGAAGAGGGCAAAATCAAGTACATTGGTCTATCCGAAGCCTCCGCGGCGACGATCAGGAGAGCTCATGCCGTTCATCCTATAACAGCAGTGCAGTTGGAGTGGTCCTTGTGGTCAAGAGATGTGGAGGAAGAGATCATCCCTACTTGCAGGTAATCTATAGCGACTTCTGAGTTGCTCCTTTTGTAAGGCTAATGAAAAAGCTTGATGTTCTTGTGTTTTATGCAGAGAACTTGGGATTGGGATTGTTGTCTACAGTCCCCTTGGCAGAGGGTTCTTTGCTTCGGGGCCTAAACTTCTCGATAGCCTCGACGATGGAGACTTTCGAAAGGTTACTTTCTTATGCATCTCTTCCATATCAATTTCGTGTTCGCGAAGTTCCTAGCACTGATGCGAACCATTCGAATCGCTTATGTTGTAGATGCAACCGAGGTTCCAAGGCGAAAACTTGGATCACAACAAGACCCTCTTCGAGAAGGTTAATGCAATGGCGAATCGAAAAGGATGCACACCATCACAGCTAGCACTTGCGTGGGTGCACCACCAGGGAGATGATGTATGTCCCATACCAGGAACCACCAAGATCGAAAACTTTGACCAGAATGTTGGAGCTTTGTCTGTGAAGCTCGCACCAGAGGAAATGTCTGAACTAGAAGCCATGGCTTCAGATGATGCTGTGAAGGGTGATAGGTACATGGAGGGCATAGCCACATTCAAGGGTGCTGATACTCCACCTTTCTCTTCATGGGAAAGTGCTTAAACTGGAATGGCTCGTGCAATTGTGCTAGGGTTTCCTTTTATGGTTTCAGTAAGTGGGTATGGTTTGGCACTCCATATTACAAATGAGGATTTGAAGTTAAGAGTTTCGTTTTTGAGTTTCATAATTGAGGTTATCTCATGCCCTCCTAATATTTGCTTGTAACACTTTGGATGAACTGAACGAGCTTGGTCATCTATACTTTTGTGGCATGATCAATAGCAAATCATATTCATTCACACCAAAATTTCGATGATAGGGAATCGTGATAAACGATTTTAGTTTTTCTCTTTGTATACGTCGAGTTTCTCTCAATTTCCAAAAATTATGTGTCGACAAACACAATTAGTAATCGGGAATCAACCCAGACTATCATTGTCTTAATGAATAATGATGATGATTGAAAATGAAAACCTTTTGAGGCTACGACTAAAAAAATAATGAAATAAGACTAAACTAACAAAAAATTCAAAAGTAGAACTTATTAAAAAGTCGATATCACACTTGGCAAGAGCTGCGCCGAAGTGTAGTGTTTTAACCAGAGTTTGATTAAGTAGTTTTAACCTAATTTTACTCAATAATATGTACTAAGATCGGTCTCCTATGATTCATAGCATCATTGATAAGTGAGTGCAAATCCTTATGAAGTTCTCCAATAAAAAAATTGCGATTTTTTTCAATGTTTTATTCGATGGTGGTAGTGCAATATAAAATCGAAAGTCATTTAAAAACAATTAATAAGTTTAACCGAAAAGTCGATATCTTTTAGCCAAACGTCAATTAAAATTTATCACTAAACCGTTGAATTTTCCCGATTCCGTACCACGATGATTTCTTAATCCCTGAAGGCTAGAATCCTTACTTAATATTATAGGGATTCAAAACAAAATTAGTGCCACATAGGCATATAGCTAACTCTCAATAATCCACGGTGGACTCTACTAATTCCTCTTTTTTTTTTTTTACAAATGTGGGCTCTTTTATTTCTAATTAATGATCTTTTTTCTTACACTTAAATATATAAGCATTATCTCAACCATCCAAGGGGACTCTTCTAATTCCTTTTTTTTTTACAAATCTGGGCTCTTCTTATTGTAATTGGTATTTTTTTTTTGCTTACACTTTAAATACATTATTATTATCAATAAAATGTAAATTAAGGAAAGAACAATGTTTAATTTCCAATGCATTCTATGGGTTTGCTTCCATCCCTTTTCCCGATAGCTTATATTTTTAAAAGGAAAATCCAACACTGGTAGGAAGAAGAAATAACAATTTGGATAAAGTCATGTAAAAAACAAGGAAACTATCTTCTTATTTACTCAAAATTTTGGGATTTCTTGCATTTCTCTCTACTTTTTTACACAATCCCGATAGCTTATATTTTTAAAAGGAAAATCCAACATTGGTAGGAAGAAGAAATAACAATTTGGATAAAGTCATGTAAAAATCAATGAAACTATCTTCTTATTTACTCAAAATTTTGGGATTTCTTGCATTTCTCTCTACTTTTTTACACAAAGATACATGGGAGGAAATGACAAGGCATATGGAATTGAGCAGTTATAACATCTTTTTGGGTTGTTAACGAAAAAATATTCATCCCAACTTTGCAAAGACGAAGCGAACCAATTTGAGGATTGCGAATTGCTCCCTCTTCCTCTTGATCTTCAACTGGCGACATGTCTCTCTTCCCCAATGATTTGCGGTTGCCTGCAGGTCGAGCGGCCAAGTTCTACTCTTCTACTCATCCGGTATCCCTTTTGTACCAAATAATGGGACAGGTAAAAAATATGCCTACTTGATTATATTAATGGGTTTCTTATTTGTTTTTCAAGTTGTTATTTTACGATTATCTATTCTACTTTAATGTAAATAGGTAACAAATAATTGGAAGAGTTAATTGCTCGGACTTAGAGCATCTCTCCTTGATTGAACAATTGATCGTTTTCTTTAGAGGCCTATGGCATCATGATTCCATGGGCCCTGGAATGGAAAGCAAAGTTGAGAGGGTATGATGTTTTTGTGTTTTTTTTTATGTTCTACAGTGACCACTAGCTAGCTATACAATGATGATCTTATCAGCAAGTAGTATTTAGGAGGTGTTAAGTAAACGGGAAATATGTGGTGTTTCATAAAGGCGATTAAGAAGAAAGAAAGCGGTTGTGGTAAACAGTGTGTCTATGTCGATGTTCTTTCAAATTTTACACGTTTACAATGACATTTTTTTGTTTCCTTAGTTGGCAAGAAAACAATTAGGCTGAAATCAATCCCTGTTCATGAATGGGGATTGTATAAGATAGAATGAGTTAAGTTTTATTGAAGTCTACCACTTTTATTATTAGTGTGTGCTGAAATTAGGTAAAAGACATCATTCCGCAGCATGAAAAATATGTAGATCTCTACTATATATAAATTGTGTTTATATGCAGTTTAGTTTGCTGAAATATTATTTTAATAAATTAGTGACAACTGATAGTTCTATTTGTGACTGGTATTGATAGAACACTTCAAATGCAAGTTAAATGAATATCGAAAGATTTATGATGTGGATGACAATGTTTTCTTTCAAAATCTGTTATCCTATACCAGCAAACGAGAAGGGAGAAAAGGATAAGATCTTCACGTGTTTTTATTAATTGTAACCTATTTGCTTAATTTTAACTTCTTCGTTTGTGGTCTTTTATTTTTTTAAACTTCTTCGGTCATTTTTGCTTGATATATAAAAGAATAATAATCTCTTAGGGTGTGCCTACGGTGACATGCATGTCACGGTGACTTGCACTTTCCGGTCGACCTCAGTTAGGATTAGGTCGACCTCACATAGAATTCGGTCGACCTCATATAGGATCCGGTCGACCTCATTTAGGATTCGGTCGACCTCATATAGGATCCGGTCGACCTAATATGTTGTTTCAGTGTAAAAACAGTTCATGGTGCCTACTTTGGATATTCATATCATACAATTGGCTAGATGGAAATTGAAGACTAATGACTTGTTTTGAAGCTGGAGTGTCCCTCTACATATTGAAGTGATTGAGAGCTCGATAGGAAGTCCAGAAGACCATTTTTGAACCTCATCAAAAGGCTATGCCAAAACTGGGAAACTGCCTAGAAATGGCTAAGTCTGGAAACGTGTTTGTGAAGCCTATTTTTGAGCTCAATTCGAGAAGCATGAATGCGAGTCGAGTCCAGGAGCCTCTACCACGTTAAATTAGGTATGTTTTTATACAAATTCAAGGAATTGGATGAAAGATTGGATATATTTAAGGCTTCAAACAAAAGGGTCGAAGTTGCTACGAAGGCTGTTTTTCTGGCAGACTTCGAGCACAAGCAAGCTGCCAGAAAAACAGCCTTCGTAGCAACTTCGAGCCTTTTGTTTGAAGCTTAAAGATATTCAATCTTTCATTCAATGCCTTGCCTTTGTATAAAAAAATACATAATTTAACGTGGTAAAGGCCCCTGGACTTGACTCGCATCCATGCTTGTCAAATTGAGCTCCAAAGTAGGCTTGACAAACACGTTGCCAGACTTAGCCATTTTCAGACAGTTTCCCAGTTTTGGCATAGCCTTTTGGTCAGGTTCAAAAATGGTCTTCTGGACTTTCTATTGAGCTCCCAAGTACTTTAATGTGTAGAGGGACACTTCAGCTTCAAAACAAGCCTTTAATCTCCAATTTCCATCTAGCCAATTGTAAGATATGAATCTTCAAAGTAGGCACCATGAAACTGTTTGTACACTGAAACAACTGATTAGGTCGACCTGATCCTATATGAGGTGGACCGAAAAGTGCATGTCACCGTGACATGCATGTCACCGTAGCAAAGTCCAATCTCTTATGTTGTTTAACAGTAGTCGACAGGTTCGATACTAAATGAACGCGTGATATAATTATTTCTATTCATTTTGTAATTTTGACATCCTCTACTTATAACATAAACGGTGGCTTTCGATACAAAATTCTATATCAATAAAGAACCATCTTCAATAGCTAATTTTATGAAATTAAAGTTTTTATATTAATAAACAAAAGCTAAAACGTGTGAAACAATTGCTTAAATAAGTTATTTGAGTTTAATATTCCATGTATAACAGTATAACATATATGAGCCATAAAAAGATTAGACTATTACAACGATAAATAAATACAAAATGCACCACCCAACGGGCGGGGTGAAAAACTAGTTGTTGAAGTGAAGGACAGTGGGAAATGTGGCCACTAGAAAACATCAAAACGGAGATGCAGAAGAAGACATGCTTGAGAGTTGAGACTGAAGAACTCAAAACTCTTTTGGACAAGCAATTATCCTGTTTTCACCCCCAAAAGAATTCTCTCTTCCTTTTCGGTCCAATTCTGAACACGACGATCAATTGATTCATTGCGTAAGTCCTGACGTGGTGGGAGACCAGTGGGGGTTGGTGAAGTCTACTCTCTAGTCTCTACTTCGCTACCTTACTCCACCATTATAAAATCGAAACTCTACCACTCATCATTTTCTCCAACCCACTTCCAGTTTTCCCGAGCGAAAGAAAGAGCTGACCGGAATCTTCGAGGGTCAAAAATGGCGTCAGTGAAGAGAATTAAGCTGGGTTCTCAAGGTCTTGAAGTCTCAGCTCAAGGCCTTGGTTGCATGGGTATGTCCGCCTTCTATGGCCCTCCAAAGCCTGATTCAGACATGATCGCCCTCATCCACCATGCCATCAACAGCGGCGTCACTCTCCTTGATACATCTGACATCTACGGCCCTCGCACCAACGAGATCCTTCTCGGAAAGGTATGAATTTTTTCTGTTTCCTCTGTTTCAGAGCTCTGTTTTCTAGTAAGCTGCTGATTTTGGGCATTTTTTTTTACTGGGTGATTAGGCTTTGAAAGGAGGGTTTAGGGAGAAGGTTGAGCTGGCTTCCAAATTTGCGATCGTTTATGAAGAGGGGAAGAGAGGAGTTCGTGGTGATCCTGCCTATGTAAGAACTGCCTGCGAGGCCAGCTTGAAGAGGCTTGAAGTTGACTGTATTGACCTTTATTACCAGCATCGCGTTGACACCACCGTTCCAATTGAAGTCACGGTTAGTCTCTTTTTGCTTCTTCTCCTTGATCTTATTCTGAAGATCCCTCTTCTGGGTTCTTTCCAAAGTTTGAAACTTTTGCTTGCCTCTGCAATACCCATTTCTGATTTACTAAGTTATACATATCCCTTTAGAGCTTGGATTGACTTAAAGGTCTTTCTGCCAGTGTGGAGCATGACTTTCAAGCTGGCTTAGGTTTTGATGTGTAATTTGCTGCCGGTGTGGATTGTTGGAATATCTCCAATGAATTTGCTGTTTTGTGTTGTGGGATTTGCTTATGTGAAGAAGTTTGTTTTGGAGCTCATTCCCAATTCGTTTCCTTGATTGTTGGAAAAGGTTGGGGAGCTGAAGAAACTGGTTGAGGAGGGTAAAATCAAGTACATTGGTCTGTCCGAGGCCTCGGCCGCGACGATCAGAAGGGCTCATGCAGTTCATCCTATAACTGCAGTGCAGTTGGAGTGGTCCTTGTGGTCAAGGGATGTGGAGGAAGAGATTATCCCCACTTGCAGGTAATTAGGCTGCTTCCCAGAAGAACCAAAGAAAAAAAAAGCAACTGAATGGATGTTCCTTTGAGTTATATGTGTAGACTGTTGACTCATGATTTCATCCTTATGCAGAGAACTAGGGATTGGAATTGTGGCCTACAGTCCCCTTGGCCGAGGATTCTTCGCTTCAGGGCCTAAACTTCTTGACAGCCTTGCGGAAGGAGACTTCCGAAGGGTACACCCTATCTAACCATGCATCTATTTCCTTAATTTTTACATGTTCTTAACCTTGCTAGCATTGGTCTGCCATTGTCTGCGTTTAAGGTTTAGAAGGAGCATTGTTTAGTGACTTATAATGCTTACCATTCTCATCTTACATCATAGATGCAACCAAGGTTCCAAGGCGAAAACTGGGATTACAACAAGACCCTCTTCGAGAGGGTTTCTGAAATCGCAAACCGAAAAGGATGCACACCATCACAACTGGCACTTGCATGGGTGCACCACCAGGGAGATGATGTGTGCCCCATTCCAGGAACCACCAAGATTGAGAACTTCAACCAGAACATAGGAGCTCTATCAGTCAAACTTACACCAGAAGAAATGTCCGAACTAGAAGCGATTGCGTCGATCGATGCTGTGAAAGGTGATAGATACATGGCAGGCATGTCCACTTTCAAAGGTGCTGACACTCCACCTCTGTCTTCCTGGAAAAGCGAATAGAAAGTGCTGTTCTATAATGCATTGAGTGAGAGTAATGGTTTGGCAATAAAATGAGCTTGCTGAGTTCAAGTTGAAGTTCTGCAATTTTCCATAACGAGGGTATTCTCATGTACTCATTGCATGTCCCTGCCCCTGGTATCGATAATCGATATGTAACACTTTGTATCGACATAGCTTTGTATTGTACCGATTCTTGATGAATAGATGAATCAATATCTGATAAGGAAAGACGTGTCTTCCCTTTGACAGATTCAAACTTCCTCATTCCACCCGTTTCTCCCACTATTGTTTTTCTGTTCCTATTTTGTTGAGTAATTGTTGAACTCAATTCCGTACACTTTAGCTGAGACGTTGCTATAGAAGCTGCTGCCTTCCACTATGTGCTTGCATTGCTTGTTATTGATAGTTAGTGGAAGAGAGAGTTCTTAAATCCCTGAGTTTTCTGAATGCGGAGCGAAAGAAAAAGATGCCGGAATCTTGGAGGCAAGGAGGGCAAAAATGAAACCCCACCATCACAAAAACGTGGTGGAGGGTTGGTGGCGTCTACCATAGTACCATGACCATCTACTTCGCTACCTCACTCCACAGTCCACAATTATAAAAGCGAGACTCCACCATCATTTTCTCTCCCCACTTCCAGTTTTCCCCTGAAGCTGAGCGAAAGAAAAGAGCTGCCGCAATCTTCAAGGTAAGGAGGGCAGAAAATGGCTTCAGTGAAGAGAATGAAACTGGGTACTCAAGGTCTGGAAGTCTCAGCTCAAGGGCTCGGTTGCATGGGAATGTCATCCTTCTATGGCTCTCCAAAGCCCGACTCGGACATGTTCGCTCTGATCCACCACGCCATCAACAGCGGCGTCACTCACCTCGATACATCCGACTTGTACGGCCCTCGCACCAACGAGATCCTTCTCGGCAAGGTATGGATTTTCTGTTTCCCCTGTTCAGTGCCTCTGTTTTGTTGTAAGCTGCTGATTTTGGGGATTTATGGTATTCTTTTTGTGGTGATTTGGTAATATCAGGCTTTGGGCTCAAGATAGGGTGGATAACCCATGGTTATGTACCTATCAATAACCAAATTTGGACCCTTCATTTAGAAAATCCAGATCTAAGGATGGAGAATTAAATGCTATTTTTATTTTCACTAGTTTTCTTAATTGACTCATATCTTTTTTGTTTTAACTCGGATTTTAATTTTTTTTGCACAGATGGAACGAGTTCATCGTGCTCTACAAAATGAGATCAATTTTCAATATTTTTTTAGGAAAAAAAAATTCTGGCCTTTCGGTACCAACTGCATACCATATGGTATTTTCTTCGTTTTTCATTCGTTTTTGAAAACGTTTGCACAGCAGGGACGAGTTCATCATGATCTATTGGATCTACAAATTTCTGGGTGAACAAATTACAACACAAAAAAATACCACACAATACCATACAATACCACCCTGGTACAAGGTGGTATTTTATGGTATACAATGTTAAAAGTCGTAAATGATAATTAATATACTTCTACTATCATGTATTCAATCATCCTACAGTCTTGGTTTGTTCATACCACCATGGTACGCTTTTCAACCCATAGGTATGCTCTTATTTCAATACTAGTCAATACCATATGGTATAGACCGGTAAAAAATGGCTCAATTTTTTTTTGTTCGAAAAATATATCAAAGTGAATATCATTTTGAAGAGCACAATTAATCTGATCTAACTGTGCAAAAAAAAATTAAATTTCGACTTAAAACGAGTGAGAAATCGTCCGTCAAAGATTAAGGAGGGGAAAATTAAAGGCTTTCCAGGAGAGAGAGGATGCGGATGTCATGCTGATGTGGGCGGGTTACTCATAGTTACTCATAATAAGGTTACTGACCTGATCCATTCCCCAGGCTTTGAAGGGAGGGTTTAGGGAGAAGGTTGAGCTGGCTTCCAAATTTGGATTTGTTATTGAAGAGGGGAAGAGCGGAATTCGTGGAGATCCTGCCTATGTAAGGACTGCATGCGAGGATAGCTTGAAGAGGCTTGAAGTTGACTGTATTGACCTTTACTACCAGCATAGCGTTGACACCACCGTTCCGATTGAAGTCACGGTTACTCTCTTCTTTACTTCCTCTCCTTAATCTTATTCTGAAGATCCCTCTTCTGGGTTCTTCCAAAGCTTGAAACTTTTGCTTGCCTTTTCAATACCCATTCTGATTTGCTAAGTTATACATTATCCCTTTTGAGTTTGCATTGACTTGGTCTTTCTGCCAAGTGTGGAGCATGAATTAGCATTGTTGGAAATATTGGATTAGATTCATGAGATTTACTTGTGTGATGGTGATGAAATTTGTTTTGGAACTCCTTCCAATTTGTCACCTTGATTGTTGTACAAGGTTGGGGAGCTGAAGAAACTAATTGAAGAGGGTAAAATCAAGTACATTGGTCTGTCCGAGGCATCAGCTGCAACGATCAGAAGGGCTCATGCAGTTCATCCTATAACTGCAGTGCAGTTGGAGTGGTCCTTGTGGTCAAGGGACGTGGAGGAAGAGATTATCCCCGCTTGCAGGTAATTAGCCTGCTTCCCAGAAGAACCAAAGAAAAGGGAAGAAAAAAGAAAGCAACTGAATGAATGTTCTTTTGAGTTATATGTCTAGACTGTTGACTCATGATTTCACCCTTATGCAGAGAGCTCGGGATTGGGATTGTTGCCTACAGTCCCCTTGGTCGAGGATTCTTGGCTTCAGGACCTAAACTTCTAGACAGCCTTGCCGATGGAGACTTCCGAAGGGTGTGTATGCCTCTATTCTGTGTCCTTTGTCTGTTCTTAACCCTTATTAGAAGTAGCATTGTTTAGTGACTTATAATGCTTGCTTACCATTTTCACCTTACATCACAGACGCAACCAAGGTTCCAAGGCGAAAACTGGGATCACAACAAAACCCTCTTCGAGAGGGTTTCTGAAATCGCAAACCGGAAAGGATGCACACCGTCACAACTGGCACTTGCATGGGTGCACCACCAGGGAGATGATGTATGCCCTATTCCAGGAACCACCAAGATCGAGAACTTCAACCAGAATATTGGAGCTCTATCTGTCAAACTAACACCAGAAGATATGTCTGAACTTGAAGCGATCGCGTCGACCGATGCTGTGAAAGGTGATAGATACATGGCAGGCATGTCCACTTTCAAAGGTGCTGACACTCCACCTCTGTCTTCCTGGAAAAGCGAATAGAAAGTGCTGTTCTTTAATGCAGTGAGTGAGTAATGGTTTGGCAATAAAATGAGCTTTCTGAGTTCAAGTTGAAGTTCTGCAATTTTTCCATAATGAAGGTATCTCATGTAGTCATGCCTCCCTGGTATCGGTATGTAACACCTTGTATTGACAGAGCTTAGTTCTGCACATTATGCAATCTAAAACATCCGTGAGGTCTCCGGCATGTGATCCGCTACGACCATTATGCTCTATGCTGAGTGTTGCTAACTGGATCCATGGAGATTAGAGTTCCCATATGAACAAATGCTTGAAACTCCTGGGGAAGCCCTCGAATGCAGACGTCCTCAAACCCTCCACTAACCTGATCATAAACCACCACACACTTGCTCCTGTAAAGAAACAGAACCTTGCCATCCTTAAACTCCCACAGAACTTTGAATGACCTCCCTTTGATCCCATTCTTCTTCCTCCTAGTTGGTGGCGCCCCGCCCTCCATACTATAACTCCGAGGGACATGGCTCGGGATGGCAAACTCTTTGCTCCAAGATTCCTTCACACAGTATCTTCTCATCACCCACACTCCAACCGATCCATCGCTGCTCAACTCGACATCAGAGAGATTACCTCTCAAATTCACCAGATGATCAAAGCTGCTGCAATCTTTCGGTCCAGGCACGACCTGGAACTCCTCAGTTTCCAAGTCAAACGACACCACACCTTCATCTCCCAGGTTCCAGCTCTTCCAGTGAAGTCTGCATTCCACCGTTGCCTCCGATGCTGGACCAGCAAGAACGTACGCGATTCGCCCCAGTCGTCTCCACTCATCGTCATCTGTCCCCAGAGTCAGCACAAAGGCTTCAGGGTTTCCTCCAGAGAAGTCGTACTCCGATTGCTTGTAGTACACGACTTTCACTACCTTGTACTGCTTTGTCCGCGAATGGAATCCGAACCCAAACACCACCCTGCAGATTGTGTTAGTGTCATGTACCGTGAGCTTGGGGAGCTCCTTGCCATGTGCAGAGCTGGAGAAAGGGTTGTAGATGTAGAGTGGATCGTCGGAGACGGTGCTGTACAGACAGAGGATTCCATTGCAAGAACCCACCAGATCAAAGTCAGGTAACATTGATCCATCCAACTGGGTGGTGATCTTCACTGTTTTGGCTGTGTCCTCCTCCGTGGCGCCAAGTTCTGCGAGCTGGAGCTTGGGTTTCGGCCAGTCTGAGAAGGCCAAGAGAAAGAGGGTGACTTCAGATTCATCTGCAGTGGAAAAATGGAGGTTATGGAAAGCTGGATCGTTGATTGAGGCGAGCCAGGATCGTGATACGAGTTTGGATTCCAGGAGAGTTTGTATGGGTTGGCTGGAAAGTATGTCGTGGAAGATGGCTTTGGGGAGCTTCTGTATTGGTGATTCCATGGTGTAAGAGACTGAGAAGGATGATAAGGAAGAACTGTGAAACTTTTTAGCTTCTTGTCTCTGGTTTTGAAGTTTGGGTAGAGGGCAGGTTGACGGGATCAAGAAATGCTTTTGGAGTGACGATTTCAACAAGACCTTGATTTTGTTTTTAGCCTAACCCAATTATAGTTTCTCACGAGTAGCATCCAAAAACAAAAACAAAAGAGTGTAGTTGAATCCAAAGTTAAGAGGTAATTGCAATTAGGGGGTATGAAATGGTTTACTCCGTATCGAACTGTATTTAGAGGTGGCAATTAGGATCCAAATCCATGAATCCAATCCAATCCATCCACCAAATTATCCACTTAATCCAATCCATTTAAATCCAATCCATTTGATCCAAATCCAATTGGATTGGTGGATTCATGGATCAATCCATGGATCCAAATGGCAAATTACGACGTGGTACCTATATTTTTTATATTTTACATTTTGGCACCTAAAATTTATATTTTATACGAAAAAAATTATTGGAAAATTACATTTTGGTACCTAAAATTTTTCATTATAACATTTTAGTACCTAAACTTTTCAAAATTTACATTTTGGTCCAATTCATGGATCAAATGGATTGGATTTAAATCAGTGCTGTCAAAGCCGAACCGAGCCGGCCGGCCGGACCGCCAAAGCCGCCACCCGATCGTAAAACCGGCTCGGATCCGCTATTTAACCGCTACGGTTTTATACAGCGGCCGGCGAGCGGCCGAAGCGGTTAACCGCTCGAGCCGCTCAAGCCGGTCGCGCGGTTCGGCCGTTTGGTTTACCGTAAAAAAAAAAAATAGAGAAGGCCAATCGTGGAATGGGGCAGCCAAACAAAACCCTAACTTTCATTTTATTTCTTCATTTTCGACCTAGAAGTAGAATAGACGATAGAGGAAGAGCGGTTTCCATGTTTAAGACTCTTGTTTAATGTTCAGACTCGTGTGATATTGCTTTTATTTTGGAACAATGTGGTGGTTTGGAATTGAATTTTAGATCTTTCAGTACTGATGTTCTAGAATGGTTTAAGATTGTAATTTACTTGTGGTTTACCATGATTAAGAAGTGTCTACTATTTATACAGATGACTGTTTATTAGGTACCGGTTCTCAAACGGTTTTTAAACAGTCTAATGCCGGCTGGACCACTAATGACCGAGCCATTCTCGTTACCGGGTCATACTCCGGCTCGGCTTTGACAGCATTGATTTAAATGGATTGGATTAAGTGGATAATTTGGTGGATGGATTGGATTGGATTCATGGATTTGGATCCTAATTGCCACCTCTAAATACAGTTCGATACGGAGTAAACCATTTCATACCCCCTAATTGCAATTACCTCTTAACTTTGGATTCAACTACACTCTTTTGTTTTTGTTTTTGGATGCTACTCGTGAGAAACTATAATTGGGTTAGGCTAAAAACAAAATCAAGGTCTTGTTGAAATCGTCACTCCAAAAGCATTTCTTGATCCCGTCAACCTGCCCTCTACCCAAACTTCAAAACCAGAGACAAGAAGCTAAAAAGTTTCACAGTTCTTCCTTATCATCCTTCTCAGTCTCTTACACCATGGAATCACCAATACAGAAGCTCCCCAAAGCCATCTTCCACGACATACTTTCCAGGCAACCCATACAAACTCTCCTGGAATCCAAACTCGTATCACGATCCTGGCTCGCCTCAATCAACGATCCAGCTTTCCATAACCTCCATTTTTCCACTGCAGATGAATCTGAAGTCACCCTCTTTCTCTTGGCCTTCTCAGACTGGCCGAAACCCAAGCTCCAGCTCGCAGAACTTGGCGCCACGGAGGAGGACACAGCCAAAACAGTGAAGATCACCACCCAGTTGGATGGATCAATGTTACCTGACTTTGATCTGGTGGGTTCTTGCAATGGAATCCTCTGTCTGTACAGCACCGTCTCCGACGATCCACTCTACATCTACAACCCTTTCTCCAGCTCTGCACATGGCAAGGAGCTCCCCAAGCTCACGGTACATGACACTGACACAATCTGCAGGGTGGTGTTTGGGTTCGGATTCCATTCGCGGACAAAGCAGTACAAGGTAGTGAAAGTCGTGTACTACAAGCAATCGGAGTACGACTTCTCTGGAGGAAACCCTGAAGCCTTTGTGCTGACTCTGGGGACAGATGACGATGAGTGGAGACGACTGGGGCGAATCGCATACGTTCTTGCTGGTCCAGCATCGGAGGCAACGGTGGAATGCAGACTTCACTGGAAGAGCTGGAACCTGGGAGATGAAGGTGTGGTGTTGTTTGACTTGGAAACTGAGGAGTTCCAGGTCGTGCCTGGACCGAAAGATTGCAGCAGCTTTGATCATCTGGTGAATTTGAGAGGTAATCTCTCTGCTGTCGAGTTGAGCAGCGATGGATCGGTTGGAGTGTGGGTGATGAGAAGATACTGTGTGAAGGAATCTTGGAGCAAAGAGTTTGCCATCCCGAGCCATGTCCCTCGGAGTTATAGTATGGAGGGCGGGGCGCCACCAACTAGGAGGAAGAAGAATGGGATCAAAGGGAGGTCATTCAAAGTTCTGTGGGAGTTTAAGGATGGCAAGGTTCTGTTTCTTTACAGGAGCAAGTGTGTGGTGGTTTATGATCAGGTTAGTGGAGGGTTTGAGGACGTCTGCATTCGAGGGCTTCCCCAGGAGTTTCAAGCATTTGTTCATATGGGAACTCTAATCTCCATGGATCCAGTTAGCAACACTCAGCATAGAGCATAATGGTCGTAGCGGATCACATGCCGGAGACCTCACGAATGTTTTAGATTGCATAATGTGCAGAACTAAGCTCTGTCAATACAAGGTGTTACATACCGATACCAGGGAGGCATGACTACATGAGATACCTTCATTATGGAAAAATTGCAGAACTTCAACTTGAACTCAGAAAGCTCATTTTATTGCCAAACCATTACTCACTCACTGCATTAAAGAACAACACTTTCTATTCGCTTTTCCAGGAAGACAGAGGTGGAGTGTCAGCACCTTTGAAAGTGGACATGCCTGCCATGTATCTATCACCTTTCACAGCATCGGTCGACGCGATCGCTTCAAGTTCAGACATATCTTCTGGTGTTAGTTTGACAGATAGAGCTCCAATATTCTGGTTGAAGTTCTCGATCTTGGTGGTTCCTGGAATAGGGCATACATCATCTCCCTGGTGGTGCACCCATGCAAGTGCCAGTTGTGACGGTGTGCATCCTTTCCGATTTGCGATTTCAGAAACCCTCTCGAAGAGGGTTTTGTTGTGATCCCAGTTTTCGCCTTGGAACCTTGGTTGCGTCTGTGATGTAAGGTGAAAATGGTAAGCAAGCATTATAAGTCACTAAACAATGCTACTTCTAATAAGGGTTAAGAACAGACAAAGGACACAGAATAGAGGCATACACACCCTTCGGAAGTCTCCATCGGCAAGGCTGTCTAGAAGTTTAGGTCCTGAAGCCAAGAATCCTCGACCAAGGGGACTGTAGGCAACAATCCCAATCCCGAGCTCTCTGCATAAGGGTGAAATCATGAGTCAACAGTCTAGACATATAACTCAAAAGAACATTCATTCAGTTGCTTTCTTTTTTCTTCCCTTTTCTTTGGTTCTTCTGGGAAGCAGGCTAATTACCTGCAAGCGGGGATAATCTCTTCCTCCACGTCCCTTGACCACAAGGACCACTCCAACTGCACTGCAGTTATAGGATGAACTGCATGAGCCCTTCTGATCGTTGCAGCTGATGCCTCGGACAGACCAATGTACTTGATTTTACCCTCTTCAATTAGTTTCTTCAGCTCCCCAACCTTGTACAACAATCAAGGTGACAAATTGGAAGGAGTTCCAAAACAAATTTCATCACCATCACACAAGTAAATCTCATGAATCTAATCCAATATTTCCAACAATGCTAATTCATGCTCCACACTTGGCAGAAAGACCAAGTCAATGCAAACTCAAAAGGGATAATGTATAACTTAGCAAATCAGAATGGGTATTGAAAAGGCAAGCAAAAGTTTCAAGCTTTGGAAGAACCCAGAAGAGGGATCTTCAGAATAAGATTAAGGAGAGGAAGTAAAGAAGAGACTAACCGTGACTTCAATCGGAACGGTGGTGTCAACGCGATGCTGGTAGTAAAGGTCAATACAGTCAACTTCAAGCCTCTTCAAGCTATCCTCGCATGCAGTCCTTACATAGGCAGGATCTCCACGAATTCCGCTCTTCCCCTCTTCAATAACAAATCCAAATTTGGAAGCCAGCTCAACCTTCTCCCTAAACCCTCCCTTCAAAGCCTGGGGAATGGATCAGGTCAGTAACCTTATTATGAGTAACTATGAGTAACCCGCCCACATCAGCATGACATCAGCATCCTCTCTCTCCTGGAAAGCCTTTAATTTTCCCCTCCTTAATCTTTGACGGACGATTTCTCACTCGTTTTAAGTCGAAATTTAATTTTTTTTTGCACAGTTAGATCAGATTAATTGTGCTCTTCAAAATGATATTCACTTTGATATATTTTTCGAACAAAAAAAATTGAGCCATTTTTTACCGGTCTATACCATATGGTATTGACTAGTATTGAAATAAGAGCATACCTATGGGTTGAAAAGCGTACCATGGTGGTATGAACAAACCAAGACTGTAGGATGATTGAATACATGATAGTAGAAGTATATTAATTATCATTTACGACTTTTAACATTGTATACCATAAAATACCACCCTGTACCAGGGTGGTATTGTATGGTATTGTGTGGTATTTTTTTGTGTTGTAATTTGTTCACCCAGAAATTTGTAGATCCAATAGATCATGATGAACTCGTCCCTGCTGTGCAAACGTTTTCAAAAACGAATGAAAAACGAAGAAAATACCATATGGTATGCAGTTGGTACCGAAAGGCCAGAATTTTTTTTTCCTCAAAAAATATTGAAAATTGATCTCATTTTGTAGAGCACGATGAACTCGTTCCATCTGTGCAAAAAAAATTAAAATCCGAGTTAAAACAAAAAAGATATGAGTCAATTAAGAAAACTAGTGAAAATAAAAATAGCATTTAATTCTCCATCCTTAGATCTGGATTTTCTAAATGAAGGGTCCAAATTTGGTTATTGATAGGTACATAACCATGGGTTATCCACCCTATCTTGAGCCCAAAGCCTGATATTACCAAATCACCACAAAAAGAATACCATAAATCCCCAAAATCAGCAGCTTACAACAAAACAGAGGCACTGAACAGGGGAAACAGAAAATCCATACCTTGCCGAGAAGGATCTCGTTGGTGCGAGGGCCGTACAAGTCGGATGTATCGAGGTGAGTGACGCCGCTGTTGATGGCGTGGTGGATCAGAGCGAACATGTCCGAGTCGGGCTTTGGAGAGCCATAGAAGGATGACATTCCCATGCAACCGAGCCCTTGAGCTGAGACTTCCAGACCTTGAGTACCCAGTTTCATTCTCTTCACTGAAGCCATTTTCTGCCCTCCTTACCTTGAAGATTGCGGCAGCTCTTTTCTTTCGCTCAGCTTCAGGGGAAAACTGGAAGTGGGGAGAGAAAATGATGGTGGAGTCTCGCTTTTATAATTGTGGACTGTGGAGTGAGGTAGCGAAGTAGATGGTCATGGTACTATGGTAGACGCCACCAACCCTCCACCACGTTTTTGTGATGGTGGGGTTTCATTTTTGCCCTCCTTGCCTCCAAGATTCCGGCATCTTTTTCTTTCGCTCCGCATTCAGAAAACTCAGGGATTTAAGAACTCTCTCTTCCACTAACTATCAATAACAAGCAATGCAAGCACATAGTGGAAGGCAGCAGCTTCTATAGCAACGTCTCAGCTAAAGTGTACGGAATTGAGTTCAACAATTACTCAACAAAATAGGAACAGAAAAACAATAGTGGGAGAAACGGGTGGAATGAGGAAGTTTGAATCTGTCAAAGGGAAGACACGTCTTTCCTTATCAGATATTGATTCATCTATTCATCAAGAATCGGTACAATACAAAGCTATGTCGATACAAAGTGTTACATATCGATTATCGATACCAGGGGCAGGGACATGCAATGAGTACATGAGAATACCCTCGTTATGGAAAATTGCAGAACTTCAACTTGAACTCAGCAAGCTCATTTTATTGCCAAACCATTACTCTCACTCAATGCATTATAGAACAGCACTTTCTATTCGCTTTTCCAGGAAGACAGAGGTGGAGTGTCAGCACCTTTGAAAGTGGACATGCCTGCCATGTATCTATCACCTTTCACAGCATCGATCGACGCAATCGCTTCTAGTTCGGACATTTCTTCTGGTGTAAGTTTGACTGATAGAGCTCCTATGTTCTGGTTGAAGTTCTCAATCTTGGTGGTTCCTGGAATGGGGCACACATCATCTCCCTGGTGGTGCACCCATGCAAGTGCCAGTTGTGATGGTGTGCATCCTTTTCGGTTTGCGATTTCAGAAACCCTCTCGAAGAGGGTCTTGTTGTAATCCCAGTTTTCGCCTTGGAACCTTGGTTGCATCTATGATGTAAGATGAGAATGGTAAGCATTATAAGTCACTAAACAATGCTCCTTCTAAACCTTAAACGCAGACAATGGCAGACCAATGCTAGCAAGGTTAAGAACATGTAAAAATTAAGGAAATAGATGCATGGTTAGATAGGGTGTACCCTTCGGAAGTCTCCTTCCGCAAGGCTGTCAAGAAGTTTAGGCCCTGAAGCGAAGAATCCTCGGCCAAGGGGACTGTAGGCCACAATTCCAATCCCTAGTTCTCTGCATAAGGATGAAATCATGAGTCAACAGTCTACACATATAACTCAAAGGAACATCCATTCAGTTGCTTTTTTTTTCTTTGGTTCTTCTGGGAAGCAGCCTAATTACCTGCAAGTGGGGATAATCTCTTCCTCCACATCCCTTGACCACAAGGACCACTCCAACTGCACTGCAGTTATAGGATGAACTGCATGAGCCCTTCTGATCGTCGCGGCCGAGGCCTCGGACAGACCAATGTACTTGATTTTACCCTCCTCAACCAGTTTCTTCAGCTCCCCAACCTTTTCCAACAATCAAGGAAACGAATTGGGAATGAGCTCCAAAACAAACTTCTTCACATAAGCAAATCCCACAACACAAAACAGCAAATTCATTGGAGATATTCCAACAATCCACACCGGCAGCAAATTACACATCAAAACCTAAGCCAGCTTGAAAGTCATGCTCCACACTGGCAGAAAGACCTTTAAGTCAATCCAAGCTCTAAAGGGATATGTATAACTTAGTAAATCAGAAATGGGTATTGCAGAGGCAAGCAAAAGTTTCAAACTTTGGAAAGAACCCAGAAGAGGGATCTTCAGAATAAGATCAAGGAGAAGAAGCAAAAAGAGACTAACCGTGACTTCAATTGGAACGGTGGTGTCAACGCGATGCTGGTAATAAAGGTCAATACAGTCAACTTCAAGCCTCTTCAAGCTGGCCTCGCAGGCAGTTCTTACATAGGCAGGATCACCACGAACTCCTCTCTTCCCCTCTTCATAAACGATCGCAAATTTGGAAGCCAGCTCAACCTTCTCCCTAAACCCTCCTTTCAAAGCCTAATCACCCAGTAAAAAAAAATGCCCAAAATCAGCAGCTTACTAGAAAACAGAGCTCTGAAACAGAGGAAACAGAAAAAATTCATACCTTTCCGAGAAGGATCTCGTTGGTGCGAGGGCCGTAGATGTCAGATGTATCAAGGAGAGTGACGCCGCTGTTGATGGCATGGTGGATGAGGGCGATCATGTCTGAATCAGGCTTTGGAGGGCCATAGAAGGCGGACATACCCATGCAACCAAGGCCTTGAGCTGAGACTTCAAGACCTTGAGAACCCAGCTTAATTCTCTTCACTGACGCCATTTTTGACCCTCGAAGATTCCGGTCAGCTCTTTCTTTCGCTCGGGAAAACTGGAAGTGGGTTGGAGAAAATGATGAGTGGTAGAGTTTCGATTTTATAATGGTGGAGTAAGGTAGCGAAGTAGAGACTAGAGAGTAGACTTCACCAACCCCCACTGGTCTCCCACCACGTCAGGACTTACGCAATGAATCAATTGATCGTCGTGTTCAGAATTGGACCGAAAAGGAAGAGAGAATTCTTTTGGGGGTGAAAACAGGATAATTGCTTGTCCAAAAGAGTTTTGAGTTCTTCAGTCTCAACTCTCAAGCATGTCTTCTTCTGCATCTCCGTTTTGATGTTTTCTAGTGGCCACATTTCCCACTGTCCTTCACTTCAACAACTAGTTTTTCACCCCGCCCGTTGGGTGGTGCATTTTGTATTTATTTATCGTTGTAATAGTCTAATCTTTTTATGGCTCATATATGTTATACTGTTATACATGGAATATTAAACTCAAATAACTTATTTAAGCAATTGTTTCACACGTTTTAGCTTTTGTTTATTAATATAAAAACTTTAATTTCATAAAATTAGCTATTGAAGATGGTTCTTTATTGATATAGAATTTTGTATCGAAAGCCACCGTTTATGTTATAAGTAGAGGATGTCAAAATTACAAAATGAATAGAAATAATTATATCACGCGTTCATTTAGTATCGAACCTGTCGACTACTGTTAAACAACATAAGAGATTGGACTTTGCTACGGTGACATGCATGTCACGGTGACATGCACTTTTCGGTCCACCTCATATAGGATCAGGTCGACCTAATCAGTTGTTTCAGTGTACAAACAGTTTCATGGTGCCTACTTTGAAGATTCATATCTTACAATTGGCTAGATGGAAATTGGAGATTAAAGGCTTGTTTTGAAGCTGAAGTGTCCCTCTACACATTAAAGTACTTGGGAGCTCAATAGAAAGTCCAGAAGACCATTTTTGAACCTGACCAAAAGGCTATGCCAAAACTGGGAAACTGTCTGAAAATGGCTAAGTCTGGCAACGTGTTTGTCAAGCCTACTTTGGAGCTCAATTTGACAAGCATGGATGCGAGTCAAGTCCAGGGGCCTTTACCACGTTAAATTATGTATTTTTTTATACAAAGGCAAGGCATTGAATGAAAGATTGAATATCTTTAAGCTTCAAACAAAAGGCTCGAAGTTGCTACGAAGGCTGTTTTTCTGGCAGCTTGCTTGTGCTCGAAGTCTGCCAGAAAAACAGCCTTCGTAGCAACTTCGACCCTTTTGTTTGAAGCCTTAAATATATCCAATCTTTCATCCAATTCCTTGAATTTGTATAAAAACATACCTAATTTAACGTGGTAGAGGCTCCTGGACTCGACTCGCATTCATGCTTCTCGAATTGAGCTCAAAAATAGGCTTCACAAACACGTTTCCAGACTTAGCCATTTCTAGGCAGTTTCCCAGTTTTGGCATAGCCTTTTGATGAGGTTCAAAAATGGTCTTCTGGACTTCCTATCGAGCTCTCAATCACTTCAATATGTAGAGGGACACTCCAGCTTCAAAACAAGTCATTAGTCTTCAATTTCCATCTAGCCAATTGTATGATATGAATATCCAAAGTAGGCACCATGAACTGTTTTTACACTGAAACAACATATTAGGTCGACCGGATCCTATATGAGGTCGACCGAATCCTAAATGAGGTCGACCGGATCCTATATGAGGTCGACCGAATTCTATGTGAGGTCGACCTAATCCTAACTGAGGTCGACCGGAAAGTGCAAGTCACCGTGACATGCATGTCACCGTAGGCACACCCTAAGAGATTATTATTCTTTTATATATCAAGCAAAAATGACCGAAGAAGTTTAAAAAAATAAAAGACCACAAACGAAGAAGTTAAAATTAAGCAAATAGGTTACAATTAATAAAAACACGTGAAGATCTTATCCTTTTCTCCCTTCTCGTTTGCTGGTATAGGATAACAGATTTTGAAAGAAAACATTGTCATCCACATCATAAATCTTTCGATATTCATTTAACTTGCATTTGAAGTGTTCTATCAATACCAGTCACAAATAGAACTATCAGTTGTCACTAATTTATTAAAATAATATTTCAGCAAACTAAACTGCATATAAACACAATTTATATATAGTAGAGATCTACATATTTTTCATGCTGCGGAATGATGTCTTTTACCTAATTTCAGCACACACTAATAATAAAAGTGGTAGACTTCAATAAAACTTAACTCATTCTATCTTATACAATCCCCATTCATGAACAGGGATTGATTTCAGCCTAATTGTTTTCTTGCCAACTAAGGAAACAAAAAAATGTCATTGTAAACGTGTAAAATTTGAAAGAACATCGACATAGACACACTGTTTACCACAACCGCTTTCTTTCTTCTTAATCGCCTTTATGAAACACCACATATTTCCCGTTTACTTAACACCTCCTAAATACTACTTGCTGATAAGATCATCATTGTATAGCTAGCTAGTGGTCACTGTAGAACATAAAAAAAAAACACAAAAACATCATACCCTCTCAACTTTGCTTTCCATTCCAGGGCCCATGGAATCATGATGCCATAGGCCTCTAAAGAAAACGATCAATTGTTCAATCAAGGAGAGATGCTCTAAGTCCGAGCAATTAACTCTTCCAATTATTTGTTACCTATTTACATTAAAGTAGAATAGATAATCGTAAAATAACAACTTGAAAAACAAATAAGAAACCCATTAATATAATCAAGTAGGCATATTTTTGACCTGTCCCATTATTTGGTACAAAAGGGATACCGGATGAGTAGAAGAGTAGAACTTGGCCGCTCGACCTGCAGGCAGCCGCAAATCATTGGGGAAGAGAGACATGTCGCCAGTTGAAGATCAAGAGGAAGAGGGAGCAATTCGCAATCCTCAAATTGGTTCGCTTCGTCTTTGCAAAGTTGGGATGAATATTTTTTCGTTAACAACCCAAAAAGATGTTATAACTGCTCAATTCCATATGCCTTGTCATTTCCTCCCATGTATCTTTGTGTAAAAAAGTAGAGAGAAATGCAAGAAATCCCAAAATTTTGAGTAAATAAGAAGATAGTTTCATTGATTTTTACATGACTTTATCCAAATTGTTATTTCTTCTTCCTACCAATGTTGAATTTTCCTTTTAAAAATATAAGCTATCGGGATTGTGTAAAAAAGTAGAGAGTAATGCAAGAAATCCCAAAATTTTGAGTAAATAAGAAGATAGTTTCCTTGTTTTTTACATGACTTTATCCAAATTGTTATTTCTTCTTCCTACCAGTGTTGGATTTTCCTTTTAAAAATATAAGCTATCGGGAAAAGGGATGGAAGCAAACCCATAGAATGCATTGGAAATTAAACATTGTTCTTTCCTTAATTTACATTTTATTGATAATAATGTATTTAAAGTGTAAGCAAAAAAAAAAAATACCAATTACAATAAGAAGAGCCCAGATTTGTAAAAAAAAAGGAATTAGAAGAGTCCCCTTGGATGGTTGAGATAATGCTTATATATTTAAGTGTAAGAAAAAAGATCATTAATTAGAAATAAAAGAGCCCACATTTGTAAAAAAAAAAAGAGGAATTAGTAGAGTCCACCGTGGATTATTGAGAGTTAGCTATATGCCTATGTGGCACTAATTTTGTTTTGAATCCCTATAATATTAAGTAAGGATTCTAGCCTTCAGGGATTAAGAAATCATCGTGGTACGGAATCGGGAAAATTCAACGGTTTAGTGATAAATTTTAATTGACGTTTGGCTAAAAGATATCGACTTTTCGGTTAAACTTATTAATTGTTTTTAAATGACTTTCGATTTTATATTGCACTACCACCATCGAATAAAACATTGAAAAAAATCGCAATTTTTTTATTGGAGAACTTCATAAGGATTTGCACTCACTTATCAATGATGCTATGAATCATAGGAGACCGATCTTAGTACATATTATTGAGTAAAATTAGGTTAAAACTACTTAATCAAACTCTGGTTAAAACACTACACTTCGGCGCAGCTCTTGCCAAGTGTGATATCGACTTTTTAATAAGTTCTACTTTTGAATTTTTTGTTTAGTCTTATTTCATTATTTTTTTAGTCGTAGCCTCAAAAGGTTTTCATTTTCAATCATCATCATTATTCATTAAGACAATGATAGTCTGGGTTGATTCCCGATTACTAATTGTGTTTGTCGACACATAATTTTTGGAAATTGAGAGAAACTCGACGTATACAAAGAGAAAAACTAAAATCGTTTATCACGATTCCCTATCATCGAAATTTTGGTGTGAATGAATATGATTTGCTATTGATCATGCCACAAAAGTATAGATGACCAAGCTCGTTCAGTTCATCCAAAGTGTTACAAGCAAATATTAGGAGGGCATGAGATAACCTCAATTATGAAACTCAAAAACGAAACTCTTAACTTCAAATCCTCATTTGTAATATGGAGTGCCAAACCATACCCACTTACTGAAACCATAAAAGGAAACCCTAGCACAATTGCACGAGCCATTCCAGTTTAAGCACTTTCCCATGAAGAGAAAGGTGGAGTATCAGCACCCTTGAATGTGGCTATGCCCTCCATGTACCTATCACCCTTCACAGCATCATCTGAAGCCATGGCTTCTAGTTCAGACATTTCCTCTGGTGCGAGCTTCACAGACAAAGCTCCAACATTCTGGTCAAAGTTTTCGATCTTGGTGGTTCCTGGTATGGGACATACATCATCTCCCTGGTGGTGCACCCACGCAAGTGCTAGCTGTGATGGTGTGCATCCTTTTCGATTCGCCATTGCATTAACCTTCTCGAAGAGGGTCTTGTTGTGATCCAAGTTTTCGCCTTGGAACCTCGGTTGCATCTACAACATAAGCGATTCGAATGGTTCGCATCAGTGCTAGGAACTTCGCGAACACGAAATTGATATGGAAGAGATGCATAAGAAAGTAACCTTTCGAAAGTCTCCATCGTCGAGGCTATCGAGAAGTTTAGGCCCCGAAGCAAAGAACCCTCTGCCAAGGGGACTGTAGACAACAATCCCAATCCCAAGTTCTCTGCATAAAACACAAGAACATCAAGCTTTTTCATTAGCCTTACAAAAGGAGCAACTCAGAAGTCGCTATAGATTACCTGCAAGTAGGGATGATCTCTTCCTCCACATCTCTTGACCACAAGGACCACTCCAACTGCACTGCTGTTATAGGATGAACGGCATGAGCTCTCCTGATCGTCGCCGCGGAGGCTTCGGATAGACCAATGTACTTGATTTTGCCCTCTTCAACTAGCTTCTTCATCTCCCCAACCTTTTTAACGGCAATCAAAGGGATTGGAAAAGCATCGTTAAGCGAAAAGTTTCGAGCTTTGGGAGAACCCAGAAGAGAGGAAGTTGGAAGAAGGACAAACCGTGGCTTCAATTGGTACTGTGGTGTCAACGCGATGTTGGTAATAGAGATCAATGCAGTCAACTTCGAGCCTCTTCAAGCTGGCCTCGCAAGCAGCTCTTACATAAGCAGGATCTCCCCTGTACCCTCTCTTTCCTTCTTCAAAGACGGATCCAAATTTGGTAGCCAGCTCTACTTTCTCCCTAACACCTTCCTTGAAAGCCTAATTGAGAATCAACCCAACAAAAGGTAAAAACAATCGGCCGCTGCAGGGGAAGAAAAAAACAGAGCACAGAAAACAGGGGAGAAAACAGAGGAATTCATACCTTGCCGAGAAGGATTTCGTTGGTGCGAGGGCCGTAGACATCAGAGGTATCGAAGAAAGTGACGCCGCTGTTGATAGCATGGTGGATTAGAGCGATCATGTCGGAATCGGGCTTGTCAGGGCCGTAGAAGGCAGACATTCCCATGCAACCGAGCCCCTGTGCCGATACCTCGAGACCTTGCGAACCCAACTTAATCCTCTTCACTGCCGCCATTTTCCCGCCTTTGTAATTTGGTGACAGCTTCTCTGTTCGTTCAGATTCAGGGGGAAACTGGAAATAGGAGTAGATGAAGAGTTGTGATTTGTGAACTTCGCTTTTTATAATGGTAGAGAGGGAGAGACAAGGATGAGTAGATACATAAGCAAATCCGATGAGCCACAACGGAGTAGTTTTCCGTATTCTGCCCATCTCTCTTGTTCTTGTGCTTCGATTTTGTGGTCTAGCTAGTGGCCATTTTTGTTTCTTCCTCCACTTGAATTCTAGTTTTTGGTGCTTTTAGGAGGTCGAATTTGCAGTCGGAGCTGTTGTCCTTTCCCGTGCGATCCAACAGTAAGAAAAGGAAGGTTAAAAAATAAAAACCACCAGCTTCAGGAAAACAGAGCACAGAACAGGGGAAAACAGAGGAATCCTACCCTTTAAATAAAGCATCTACTATTCAATCTTTAAAGTTTAAACTGTCACAGACTTATAATTCTAATTCTAATTAGGATTAAAAATATAATATACTAATTATTTGTCACAATAATAGTCAACTTTTGTAAAAGTCATAAATATATTTAGATTTAGAATGCGGGTTGGACAAATTTAGTCAGTTAAATCTTTTAACGTCATTAGAGACGTTGTTGGTTAAATAACATGTTGATGCAGATGACACGTCGGCTCCAAATTGTCACATCATAGGGACTAGATACTATAACAACACTCCTTGTGTTGTTATTGTAACAACACTAGTCTCCAACCAATAGAAAGCTAGGGTTGTGATGACTTTTTATTAGATGAGTTGACCTAGTGTAAAATCAAAGCAGGGGTATAATTGTCATTATGAAAAATATGTTTAAATAATAATAAAAAAATAAAATAAAAAATATTTTTTTATTTTCGGACAAAAAATTTGGTCGCCGGAATTCGGCCACCGGTCACCGGAATCTGGTCGCCGGTCACCGGAATATGCTTTTTGTCGCCGGAATATGCTATTTTGCCATCGGAATATGCCACCGTCGTCGGAATATGCTCACCGGCGTCGGAATCTAGTCATCGGGACCGGAATATGCCTATCGGCGCCGGAATCTACTCACCGACGGTCATCAGAGTTTGGTCAACGATCTTCGTTGACCGGTCAACGGTCTTCGTTGACTGGTCAATGGCCAACGACCACCGGATGTTGTGGTCTGCATTGTGAGATTTATGGTTTGGTTTCTCATATTTTTGTATGCCTTTTGTGGTTTGATTTATCGTGTTTGTGGTTTGCATTAAGAAGTTTCTGGTTTGTTTTATCGTGTTTGTGGTTTGCATTGAGAAGTTTCTGGTTTGTTTTGCGGGGTTTCTGGTTTGTTTTAATAGATTTTTGGTCTGCATTAGGACGTTTCTGGTTTGTTTTTGTGGTTTGCTTTATCGTGTATGTGGTTTGCATTATGAGGTTTCTGGTGTGTTTTCTAAAATTCTGTGGTTTGCTTTGCGGGATTTCTGGTTTGTTTTAGTAGATTTTTGGTCTGCATTAGGACGTTTCTGGTTTGCTTTTTTGGTTTGCTTTAACGTGTTTGTGGTTTGCGTTATGAGGTTTCTGGTTTGCTTTCAAAAAATTTGTGGTTTGCTTTGCGGGGTTTCTGGTTTGTTTTAATAGATTTTTGGTCTTCATTAGGACGTTTCTGGTTTGTTTTTGTGGTTTGCTTTATCGTGTTTGTGGTTTGCATTATGAGGTTTCTGGTGTGTTTTTTAAAATTCGGTGGTTTGCTTTGCGGGGTTTCTGGTTTGTTTTAGAACATCTGCGGTCTGGTTTAGGAGGTTTCTGATATGCTTTTTGTGGTTTGTTTTATCGCATTTGTGGTTTGTATTAGGAGGTTTCTGGTGTGCTTATAAAATGTTTGTGATTTACTTTGTGGGATTTCTAGTATGTTTTATGCGATTTGTGGTATGCATTAGAAGGTTTATGGTGTGCATAATTAATATTTGTGGTTTGCTTTGTGATTCTTCTAGAATGTTTCAGGGAATATGTGGGCTTCATTAAAAGGTTTCTCGTTGGTTTTTTTATGATTTTTTATGTTAATAATATTTTATCATAAAATAACAATAAATTAAGAAAATGATTACTTTTTATTTTCACATATTATCACCTCCTTCTCTAAAATCTAGTGTTATCAAAACCGAACGGAACAATAATCCGGATTATCAAGAGATTTAAGGTTTATCGGATAACCGATAATTAACCGTATACAACCGGAGCGTACACAAATCACAAACTCAATGCGTTCCCAAGCCCCAAAAGATCAATTTTTCATTTACTTTCCCTTTTTCTTTAATAAATTCTACTTTCCCTATAATCATAGGTTTCCTCTACGTTCTGTGATTCTGTCCCAAACTTCCCCAAAATTCGAAACCCAAATCAATTTATTTCCTTCTTTTCATTCTTTTGTGACTAACAGATGACTCAGCCATGAATACAAAGATGGCACACGACTAGAGGTGGTGGCTGCAACAAGCGACGATGGAGATGTAGATGCAGCGGCGGCCTGGCGGTGCGGCGGCGGCGAAGATCGACGATGAGAGAGGCAAGGTGCCGGCGATGGGACAAGGCTGAATGGGACCGGCGGCGAGCGACGATGATGACGTGGAGGTGGCCTGGCAGTGGTGATGACGCTGCAACTACCTTTCCGATCCGGATCTGCAACTTGCGTCAAATATCGGAAGCCGCCAGCGAGAGGAATATCGGAAGCCGCCAGCGAGAGGAGAGAGCGGATCTGAAAGCTGAAAGACAGCGGTGACAGAGGGGGCTTGACACAAAAATCCTCTGCATGCGAGGTTGAAGAAGGAGAATTGATGGAGCCGACCCACCTTACTTCTTCACCATTGAAGATCCTGCAACGTATCCCGTCGAAAATCCGACGGTTAGTGGAACAGTTGGCTCTTGCTCCAGGCTGGACGACGACGATTGAGCTAATGACGATGATGATTCCGTATTCGTGTGTGTGGAATCGTTGTTTTTGTGATTGTTCCCTGCTTTCTGATGCTCTGTTTTGCAGGTAACCGACGAACTAAGGATTGGCGGCGGCGAATAGGAACGACAGGAGAACTAGCGACCTCGGCGGCGGAAGAAAGAAGGAACGACGGGGATTGAAGGACGCCTCAATCGTAGCTGCCAGATCGGAGTCGTAGCCGCCAGATCGGAATCGTAGCTGCGTTCGTGCCGACAGCGGAGGGGAGCGTACGGAGATCGAGAGAGGGCAAATAGGACTTGAAAACGTTTTTTTTTATTTTGTTATTAATTTCCGTTTTTACCCCTGTTGTTATAGTATCCGGACCCTTCTTCCAAAGGTTGAAACTTTTGCTTGCCTTTTCAATACCCATTCTGATTTGCTAAGTTATACATTATCCCTTTTGAGTTTGCATTGACTTGGTCTTTCTGCCAAGTGTGGAGCATGAATTAGCATTGTTGGAAATATTGGATTAGATTCATGAGATTTACTTGTGTGATGGTGATGAAATTTGTTTTGGAACTCCTTCCAATTTGTCACCTTGATTGTTGTACAAGGTTGGGGAGCTGAAGAAACTAATTGAAGAGGGTAAAATCAAGTACATTGGTCTGTCCGAGGCATCAGCTGCAACGATCAGAAGGGCTCATGCAGTTCATCCTATAACTGCAGTGCAGTTGGAGTGGTCCTTGTGGTCAAGGGACGTGGAGGAAGAGATTATCCCCGCTTGCAGGTAATTAGCCTGCTTCCCAGAAGAACCAAAGAAAAGGGAAGAAAAAAGAAAGCAACTGAATGAATGTACTTTTGAGTTATATGTCTAGACTGTTGACTCATGATTTCACCCTTATGCAGAGAGCTCGGGATTGGGATTGTTGCCTACAGTCCCCTTGGTCGAGGATTCTTGGCTTCAGGACCTAAACTTCTAGACAGCCTTGCCGATGGAGACTTCCGAAGGGTGTGTATGCCTCTATTCTGTGTCCTTTGTCTGTTCTTAACCCTTATTAGAAGTAGCATTGTTTAGTGACTTATAATGCTTGCTTACCATTTTCACCTTACATCACAGACGCAACCAAGGTTCCAAGGCGAAAACTGGGATCACAACAAAACCCTCTTCGAGAGGGTTTCTGAAATCGCAAACCGGAAAGGATGCACACCGTCACAACTGGCACTTGCATGGGTGCACCACCAGGGAGATGATGTATGCCCTATTCCAGGAACCACCAAGATCGAGAACTTCAACCAGAATATTGGAGCTCTATCTGTCAAACTAACACCAGAAGATATGTCTGAACTTGAAGCGATCGCGTCGACCGATGCTGTGAAAGGTGATAGATACATGGCAGGCATGTCCACTTTCAAAGGTGCTGACACTCCACCTCTGTCTTCCTGGAAAAGCGAATAGAAAGTGCTGTTCTTTAATGCAGTGAGTGAGTAATGGTTTGGCAATAAAATGAGCTTTCTGAGTTCAAGTTGAAGTTCTGCAATTTTTCCATAATGAAGGTATCTCATGTAGTCATGCCTCCCTGGTATCGGTATGTAACACCTTGTATTGACAGAGCTTAGTTCTGCACATTATGCAATCTAAAACATTCGTGAGGTCTCCGGCATGTGATCCGCTACGACCATTATGCTCTATGCTGAGTGTTGCTAACTGGATCCATGGAGATTAGAGTTCCCATATGAACAAATGCTTGAAACTCCTGGGGAAGCCCTCGAATGCAGACGTCCTCAAACCCTCCACTAACCTGATCATAAACCACCACACACTTGCTCCTGTAAAGAAACAGAACCTTGCCATCCTTAAACTCCCACAGAACTTTGAATGACCTCCCTTTGATCCCATTCTTCTTCCTCCTAGTTGGTGGCGCCCCGCCCTCCATATTATAACTCCGAGGGACATGGCTCGGGATGGCAAACTCTTTGCTCCAAGATTCCTTCACACAGTATCTTCTCATCACCCACACTCCAACCGATCCATCGCTGCTCAACTCGACAGCAGAGAGATTACCTCTCAAATTCACCAGATGATCAAAGCTGCTGCAATCTTTCGGTCCAGGCACGACCTGGAACTCCTCAGTTTCCAAGTCAAACGACACCACACCTTCATCTCCCAGGTTCCAGCTCTTCCAGTGAAGTCTGCATTCCACCGTTGCCTCCGATGCTGGACCAGCAAGAACGTACGCGATTCGCCCCAGTCGTCTCCACTCATCGTCATCTGTCCCCAGAGTCAGCACAAAGGCTTCAGGGTTTCCTCCAGAGAAGTCGTACTCCGATTGCTTGTAGTACACGACTTTCACTACCTTGTACTGCTTTGTCCGCGAATGGAATCCGAACCCAAACACCACCCTGCAGATTGTGTCAGTGTCATGTACCGTGAGCTTGGGGAGCTCCTTGCCATGTGCAGAGCTGGAGAAAGGGTTGTAGATGTAGAGTGGATCGTCGGAGACGGTGCTGTACAGACAGAGGATTCCATTGCAAGAACCCACCAGATCAAAGTCAGGTAACATTGATCCATCCAACTGGGTGGTGATCTTCACTGTTTTGGCTGTGTCCTCCTCCGTGGCGCCAAGTTCTGCGAGCTGGAGCTTGGGTTTCGGCCAGTCTGAGAAGGCCAAGAGAAAGAGGGTGACTTCAGATTCATCTGCAGTGGAAAAATGGAGGTTATGGAAAGCTGGATCGTTGATTGAGGCGAGCCAGGATCGTGATACGAGTTTGGATTCCAGGAGAGTTTGTATGGGTTG